GGAGAAGAGGAAGAAATAGACGAGGAGCCCACCTGTTGGAATTAATCACTTCCTCAGTAAACTACATTAAAAAATTATCACATGACTGCACTATGTCAGCATAAAATCTTTCTGAAAAGGCGGAAAAAAACAACATTTACAATACCTGGAAAGATTAATATGCTTCCAGATAAACTCATACTGCATCTAATAGGTAAGTTAAATGTATTTTCCTATACCATCTCCATGCATTTTCATTGAATCATGCCAACAGATCTTCAAACAGCTATTGGTTAATAACCTTTAGAAGTACCTCTTCCATTTGTTAAAACTAAAATGTTCCATCTTACAGTCCGACCTATTTTTTCACATTGAAGTTATTAAAGGAAGCCTCTAATCATTATTAACGTTACAATAAATAACGAATGATTATACTAACAACAATAAAAAATTCAGCAACACACTAAATAGCATATAACTACTTAATTAATCAACTTAGGTTCAGACCTCATCAATGCTTTGAGTTATACGGCGACGGTGCAAAAATCGATTACTATCAATACGCCAAAAGTGTGATGTTGATGGCACTGCAATAATTGGAAAGTGTGTTAGAATTAAAATATAAAAAAAAAAACGAAGCAGGAGAAAAAAGAATCATTATACTAAACCAACAACATTTCTATCTACAATTTAGTCAAGCAGTTTGGCTATCAACAGCAACAATAAATACCGGTCATATGTTTCCTTTCAAATCCCTTCCCCAGTTCCTTATAATTTAAACCATCACAACCATCTTCCTCAGCATCTGATATGCCCAACTCGGCATTAATATCTGCATTGGACTTCTCTTGAGGGATTGAGCAATCAGCAAATGCTTTATCCACGTTGTCCCCACAGACCCTTCCAAGTAAATAACAAAAAATTCCAATTAAGACATCAAACTGCCTTTCTCAGCAAAACCAGACAAAAATCACCAATGCCTTATAAGATAGGTCAAAAACATGAGGAAAGATAAAGAGATGACAGTTTTTATGTATCTAAACTACTTCCATGGTAATGGGTACGATAAGATACAGAATGAGAACACACTTGAAATGGCAAACATATCATTAAGATCAGCCAGAAGAGAAAACATCTGATCAGATAGTAAGATACCACATTTTACGAAGACTAAGAGTCTAAGATCATTAGAAGAACACCCAATTGTGTTTCTGCAAGTTGTGGAGTATGCTTTAGGCCTAGGTGAAATTCAACAAACCACAACCACTACAGGTCAACCAAGTCTTCTATACAAACAATCTGAAGGCCAAGGAAGTCCAAAAGCATAAAGAAAACTTCTGAGGATAAAAGGTGGACTTCACACAAATAGGATAAAAGGTTATCATTCTGATGTGACTTCCACAATTAAAACTTTTTCTAAATGGCCCAAAGGTTAAATCTAACTGCACAGAGAGTAGAACACTGCAAAGCAATGCACGGTAATGGTTCTTCCCACTCTTTCATTTTTAGAAAAAAAAAGAGAATGTATTAATCATAGATGTCAAAAGCATCCTGCTTTAGCTTGACTAAAGTGAGACTTAGAGTTCTGGCATTCAAGAAAAGTTAAATGCAAGGAGCTTCAGGCAAGTGAAGATATAAAATCCATGTCAGTTCATAGAACATATGTGAAAACATGATTATGGTCTTACTGTCGACAGGAAAACCTTAAATACAGCAAACTGAAAATATTCACCAGCTCCATCTTTTGAACAGTTAAATAAAATGCAAAACTAACTTGTTCATTCATCAACCAAGACACCTGTTAAATAGCCAAAAGAACTTTAGGTCCAGCATGACAGGAGATTTTGTCCGAGAATTTAGATACAAGCTTTGTCTTGCAATTGCTAATGAACAAATCTGTCTATTAAGAGCAAAAGGACTAATATGCGAAACACTGATCTTTAACTATCCTTTACTGCCCAATAAAAACAAAAATTTGAAGCATAGAATGCACTTGATCTAAAATCACAGCATAGTGAGATGGGCAGCCATCCCTGAACAAGTTCTCTTATTAACTAAAAGTTGTTTCATCTAAAAGTATATTATAATCATTGACCAATATCAAAAATTAAATATTTAAAATGTTAATAGTACTTTATTCTCTATGAACTATTAAATAAAACATCAGATATTATTCTTCCTAAAGGAACAATCATTGCACAATGCACTTCTTCCTCATTGAGTCAATACTATTTAAAGTGAAGAAAGTGTGAGATGACAAGAGGCAGATAAACAAAAGAAAGTGATGTTGGGAATGTCTGCATGTGGAGTTGAAACCCATTTGTCTTACATATAAGCAGTAACATGCAACAGTTAGAATTTTAAGAATGAAACTAAAGGTGGCCAAGTGTGTTATAAGTCACTGTAATACAGCCCTAAAAAAGGTATAAATATTTACCAAGCATTTTCTGTAAATTCACTAAATGAAGGAAGCAACATAAGCCCCAAAGGCTAATCAAAACCTGGTTGAAAGCAACACCCGTTTCCTAATACTGTAGATACCAGAAATAGGTTGAAAAAAGCATAATTTTTATTTATGAAAAGAAAAGCATGAGTTGGGTGATTAAACTATGCAAGATCCATAGGTTAATAACACATCTGATCATTGCAATTCATAAGATCTGTGGATAAATAAGTGACCCTTCTTATACCATGTATGTGTTAGAGCCAAGTGACTGGCTGTTCTCAATCTTTTAAGAGCCAACAAATCAAACATGGGAAAAATATGCACAAAATAACAGGTTATACATAAATTGCATATCTAAGATGATAAGTAGATGTATGAATGACAGCATACCAACGGCATGCCTCATCAATTGACTTTACAAGTGCAACTGGTATTCGCCGCCACTTATGACAATCATCACAACGCACCCAAGCATTATCAGGCTGTGTACACTGCTCCATGGTACCATCTGATACCAAGTCAACATTAATCATGTCTGCCGATGCAATACTGTTGCTGGTATTTGAGATCTCAATATCATCTGAAATGTGATTTCCTGCAATATCAAGTATTGTAAAGTTAATACAATCTCCAATTTCCGCTAATCTGAAAAATTTTATCCCACTGGCAAGGAATAACAATGACAACTAATATGTGAAAAGATTAAAGTGATAAGAAATAATAATAATAATAACATGAGAAAAACAAAGAAGGGAAGAATCAGTAATCTATATCCTTATAGTTCCAGTACCTGTTAGTGGGTGCCTTCCTCCTCTGGCAACAATGTCTTTGTCAGAGCCTTTCTTCTTTACTTTGGTCTTACTAACTGACTTCAATTCATCCCCTTTCTGCTTACAAGCATTTCCTTTCCTGCTCCTTGCTGTATCAGAGACTCTGGACTTTCCCTTGCTCACTCCGCAAGATTTTAAGCTTTTGGAAGGTTGATTCCGCTTGTGTTTAGAGGAAGACAAATTCTTCGTGTTCTTTGTATCTGGAACATCAGGACTGCAACATGCTTTAGCATCCATACCAATTTCCACTTTCATAGCCTCTTCAGAGACACCAAGTCCATTCTCTCTTGAAGAATTTGCACCAGTGGATGAAGTAAGAGCTCCGCTAGAGCAAAATCCATTAACTGTTGTTTTTTGTTTGCCTCTGCAATTCTTTGATGATTTAGATTTCCTTGCGCTGGCTGCACCAGGAGATTTATGATTATCCTTCTTTCCCCGCTTGCTACTCTTACTACTCTTAACACCTCCAGTAGAAGCAAGCGCTCCAGAAGTATTCAAAACAGTATTATTTGACTCTTCTTGGTGTATTGAACCAACTTGGGCATCAGGAATTAAATTGATTACTTCGGAATCTGGTGAAGTTCCAGGATCAATGTACTTGTTCTCTACAACTTCCCCAGATGCTTCAGCCACCACATCAGACAGACTTACAGGATAATTATCTGCAGCATCTTCAGCAGACTTTTCAAGATTTTCAGCACTCTCCACAACCTTATGTGCTAGTTTTAGATCCATAATAGAAGCATCTGAGCATGTTTTCACCTTTTCTAAGTCCTCCTTAAACTGCAACTGCCTTTCACTTTCCAGTTCCCCTACTTTATCTTGAACAACATTAACTAGTTTTGGACATTGAAAACTGGTTTCTTTCCCATGATTATTAAAAGAAGTATCAACAGAAACTGATGGATCGACCGATTCTGTAACCACACTATTCAGATTAATTGGAGCAACTCCCTTGCCCACTTTGATCTTCAAACGTAGGCAATTGGTTGAAGTGTTACTTATCCCACTTGACCCTTTTCTGTTTTTACCAGCCCGGTTTTTGCTCCGTTTCCCACTTGCTTGGCCACCCCCAGCTTTGGACGGTTCTTGATTCAGCACTTCAATACACCCAGGCTCATGATACTGCTCAAGAAATTGTGTAATATTACTCAACAATCCCCAGTCAGTAGCACGAGCTGGCTTGGATGAACAGCTTCTCTTCTTCCTTGAAGCTCTGAAAATAAATTCAATACTTTCATGTGGGGCCTGCTTCATGTTCCTGCAGTACCTGGCAATCCTTTTCGCTGGAGCCTTTCGGCTTGATTTGCTCTTTCGGCTGCCTCTTCGAGAAGAGGAAGATGTGGCAGGATGATGTTTAGTTTCTGAAACACAATCAACCTTGACAACATCCTTTCCTTCATTTTCCCTTTGTCTGGAACAGTCAATTGAACTGCTTGAACTAATCGCAGCACAAGCATCCTTTGCCAAAATATCCAGTGGATCCAACCTCTCAAACAAGCCATTTTCAACAACATCAAAGGGCTGACATGACAAAGAATCTGATCTATCACCAAGACAGTTTGCACCTAGCTCAAAAGAATCCCCTTTCGAATTGCAGGCATTTTCTTCTGCATTTATAATTTGACTGGGAGTCTCAACCTTTGTAACTGCAGTTACAGCAGCCCTCTTCTCAAAAATCTCTGCAACACCATTTTCATATTGACCATTAACATTCTTTTTGTCAGTTTGTGCATTCTGATGGGTACCCAATGATTCAGCCCTATGTAATGTTTCCAATGTACTCCAGCTACCCTTTGAAGCCAATAACTCAATGCATATATCATCCGTACATTTAGTTTCCACAGGTTTAGTAAAACTTTCCAATGAGAGATCAGTGCCACTCAGATCATCTTTCTGGTTATGCCAGTCACTACTACTCACAAAATCACCTGTTACACTTATTAACTCAAAAGGCACTTCACTCTTTTGCGAAGGCAATATTTGGTTCAGAACACCAGCCCCTGTCCTTTGTACCACGTCATTTTTCTCTTCACACTTTTCTTCCCCATCTTCCATGACCCCCTGCTGAGTGGAACCAGTGACACTCTCATCAGCCTTCTCCTTATCCTGTTTAACACAATTTCTAGGTGAAGTAGCCACTGTTTTCAGTTCTGATGGCATTTCAGTGTCCTGTGAAGCATCATTTTCTGAGTCGTGATGATCAACTTTACCCAGATTCTCAGTCAAAAAAACCCCACCTTGAATGTCAATACATTCTTTTAACATCCAACCAACCACAGTTTCATCATTTCCTCTCATCTGGTCTATAGAAATCTCCATGCCACTGCTCAAACAAGCAGTATTTTCATCCTGAGAATGTCCATCCACAACAGTTGGACCATCTTCACCTAAAATTCCTCTGTTTTTCAAGCACAACAGATCAGTTTCTAAATCATTAACATTAACATTACCCTGATTTTCATTCAAACAAACCACGTTATCACCAATACTATCACCCATCAATTCCTTTAAACCAGAACGATCTACATTTTCCTGATTTTCATTTGAATAACCTGTGCTATCACCATCACCAATCAATTCCTCTGGACCAGAACCATCTACATTTTCACCCTGATTATCATTCAAACAAACCACACCATCACCACACCTACCATCCATCATTTCCTTTGAACCAGAACTATCCACATTCTCAGACTGATTTTCATTCAAGCATACCACACTATGACCATCCTTATCACTAATCAATTCCTTGGAGCCAGCACAATGTACATTCTCACCCTGATTCTCATTGGAGCAAACTGTACTATCACCACACCTATCACCTGTCAAGACATCTGAAAAAGAACCATCCACATTCTCACCCAGATTTTCATTTGAGAAAACTGCACTATCCCTGCACCTATCACCCATCAATTCCTTTGAACTAGAACCATCCACACTTTCACCCCGATTTTCTTCCAAACAAACCACACAATCATTGCACCTATTGCCCACCAATTCCTTCATGTCAGAATCATCCACTTGTTCATCCTGATTATTTTCTGAGAAAACAATACTATCACCCATCAATTCTTTTGAACAAGAACTATAGACATTTTCACACTCATTTTCTTTCAAACAAATTGTGCTGTCACAACATTCATCACCATCCAATCCCTTCAAACCAAAACCAACCACATTCTTGCACTCACCCTTATTCCATCTCTGCAATCAATATCCCCAGACCTTTGACAATCAGTATTTTCATCTTCACTCGTTTCACCAGCACAATCCACATTAGGATCAAACACAATGCAATCCCGCTGCTGAGGCACAAGGTTTCCCATCAACTCTGTGCACGAATGTTGCTCTGTAGCAGCAACTTCACGGAAAGGTTCATCAACCAAGGTCCTATTCTCGCACAAACCCATCTCCGGCTTTTTTCCAAAAAATAGTATCAACAATGAAGCAAAACCATACTCCAAACCAACAAAAAAGTGAAAAAAAGCAAAAGAAAACTTTGACCCAACAATAAAAATCAATCATATCCCCTTAACCAATACAATGCACCCTCAAATTCACCGCCCACGAATCCCTACCTCCCTTTTTCTAACCATATCCTTCCTAATAAAATCTTCAAAAAAGAAAAAAAAAAAGGAAAAATAATACCTTCGTCAAAACTCGCTCTGAGGACAAACTGAAAAAACCCTAGAATCCCTTTCTCTGCAGAATCCAAAAACCACGAATCTCAGAATCTAAACACTAATGCAGATAGAAAAACATAACTAAGAACAAAAATAAACGGATAATACATTGAAACAATTAACCACGAAGGAAAAAATTAAAGAACATAGAGAAACTAAAAAAAATACCTGTTAGAGAGAAGAGGAACCAGGCCGTTGAAGAAGGAAGAAAAGGTCCTTTTATATTTTTAATTTTTTTATACTATTTTTTTTCCCCTTAATAAACTGTTTGAGAGAGAGAAAGAATTCGGTGGCGCTGTAAACAGTTTAGCACGAGAAAAAGCGAAAGAGAAAAAAAAAAAGAAAAAAAAGGAAGGGAGGGAGGCGAGATCGTTACTAAAATATCAATTTTGACCTTTCCTGCTTTGATTAGGTGAAAAATCTACGCGCCCGAGTTTGATTGGGACAGCCTCACTCCCTTATCTCTCCTTTTTACACGTGTATTTTTATGGATATTTTTGTCATATCAAAAAAAGAATCCTTTTGCCTTGAAGTCTGAAATTTAGTTTTTAGTTTTTTAGTGTTTTTTCTGTTTTTGTTGGTAAATTGGCACGGTAACACGGTAGAACATCGAATTCACCCGCACCAGGGATAAGAACACTGACAAAGGTTAGGCGGTTAAAGTTTTTTTAACAAAATATTTAAATTATTTAAATAATTTTATTTTATTTTATTTTATTCAATCACACTTTTATTTTTTTATTTTAAATTAAATAATTTCACTTTCTATTTTAATACCACGTAAATATAAAAAAAAACAACGTTTTAATTAACAATCATCAATATTAATATCCATTTGATATAAAATAAAAATATAAAAATTTAATTATACATAATAAAAAATAAATATTTATTTAAATTTTTTTAAAATAATTTAAAAACTTTTTAAAATATTAAGTCTTTTTCTTTCTTACAAATTTATGGTATTATCAAATATGAAACTACCAAGGTTAAGACTGAAAACAAGCAAATAAAAAATAAAAAAATTATATAGTATTTTACATTAGTGGAATTAGAAAATTGTTGCATGTCAATTAAGTTATATTTAGAAAGCTTAATATAATTATTAAGTGGACTTATGATAATTATATAAACTTGTTTAATTTTTTTTGCGTATTTTAATTTTAATAATAAATATATATATATATTTATAGCTTATAGTGTTTTATGACTTAATTGATAGAAAATGAAATTGACAGTAATTTGTTTTGAAATTGTTCTAACATTAATTTGCTTGTGTATGAACATATGATTCATGTATATGTACATATTTGATTATGAAATGAGTTGTTTATAAAGTACGTAACAGAAAAAGGTGTGACATGAAACATATATATATATATATATATATATATATCTTGTTGCATAGAACAAACCTTTTTATATTTTAAATTAAAAGTTTTGGTGAGAATTAAGAATAAAGGTTAATTAAAGTGACACGTTGAGTTGCATATAAGGAATGCTTTACATCATTATTTTTATTTATAATTCTCATGTGCCATATTTACGTAAATAAGTATGATGACATTAACTAGTATGAAATTAAACTACTAAAGGGCTAAATTAAATCACAGTTAGCTGGCTTTACATTCACATCAAGCTTGTGGAAACTAAATCTCAATCTTTAAAAAAAAATATCGAGCTATTAATAAAATTGCAATTGAAAAGTTCGGGTGTAACTTTATAATATTTTATATTATTATTTTATTTCTGCATCATATATAAAGTTGTGCACTAATTTTAAGAAGATATATATATATATATATATATTAATATTTATTGTTGTATCATTGAACATGAATACTTATTTTTTATTTAATATTAAAATAATAATTATATGTAAAATACTAATATTTCTTAAGTGCAAAAGTAATTTTATATATATATAAGAAGATTAATGTTTCAATTATATATAATTCAATTTATGCAGTATTAATCTATAAATCATATAATACTAGACGAAATCAAGAAAATATTTTTTTTGTGACAGTCATAAATTAGATAAATTTTAGTAATATTTATAATAAAAAATATTTTTAATGAAATTTATTAGATGCTATTAGAATTCTTGTATTTACTAATTAGATAAATATTATCAATATTAAATAAAAATCTTTGAAATGATAATTTAGAAATATAATGAAACATATATGATTATTTTTGTCAATTATATATATATGCACGTGTATAAATAATAGTGATAATAATGATATCATTAACAAATGTAGTAAGCAAAGAGTTTATAATGATTGCATATTTATAATTAATTAACTACTAAATAAAGGAAAATTAAATCAATAAATATCATATCCAATAGCAAAATTTGGCAACTACATCCTAACTCAATAATCTTAATTAAGTAACTAATTAAGAAAAATCAAAGTAAGCAAGAAGACTGGTAACACACAGAAATAAACCAGTGTCTATATACTAGATAAGCACATATATAGATAATGGGTCTCAAAGTAGACAGACATAGTGATCGTCCACACTCCACAGGTCAAGTTCATAGTTGCTAGTAATACGGCTTTGACTTATTACAAAGCTAAGGGAAATGCGTTTAAGATCATCACAAACACTGGGAAACATGCAGAAACTTAAAGTTATTAGTATCAGAAAAGCAGGCTAGAGAATTTCAGGCTTCAGCTAGCTATCTGCCCCAGCCCTCACAACATGATTACATCCTCTCTTGCAGGTTTGGCTGCATAGGCTGCACACGGAAGGCGAAAGGCATCTGCGAGCTGAAGTCCCTTGCTCGCTGGTATCCGTTGTCCATTTGCTCTCTTGCATTTTCATAAGCTATATGCTGTTGATTCTGCAAAATCAGAGATTATACATTCATTATAAACCATTCATGAAAATTAACAAGCTAATGGGAGTGATTGACAAGAAGCTGTTTATTACATAGGGATAAAAAAGAGGGAGAATTAATTAGGCCTTTGACCCTATATATATATATATATACACACACACACACACACACTGATATAGCAAGGATCCTAGGTCTAGGTTCGACATTCTTTTCCACTGCTTTAGAGAAAAACTACTGTTTCCTCTGTGTAGCTAGAGAAGCTTTGATATGTCAACTCAACAACGTGCTGCAAAATGCAAATACTCCGATTCCCATATATAAATCTTTGCAAGGCATTGTGCTCGACAGGTAGCTTCTTAGCTACTGAGACTCTAGAGCTAACATGACATTACACCACTCAGTTGCAAGGCCAACTTTTTCCCTTTTATCATGTGAAGACTCTCGTTTGGTTGGGTAAATATAATCAGATTAATCTGAATAAAGTTTAAACTAGGTGAGCAAGGGGACATTACACATTTTTTTCCCTCTCCCATCTTATAAATCCTTACTGGAATTTAGTTGTATATCTCATTGAATAGTTTTGCTCATTTTCTTTTTCCTTTCTGAATGATTTTTCAAGTAGAAATGTTCCTTCTTCTTGTCACTTTCATTATAGGCACAAATCTTCCACACCATCAGTTGTGATCACCCTTTTCTTCCCATTCAATTAACACAGAGCTACTATGTCAACAACGAGATATTAAACAGTGCTCACTTGGATACATAAAAAAAAAGGGAGGTGAGATATAGGAGAATAAATACCACAATGAAATTGAGCTGCTTATTGTCCTCCTCTAACATTTTCGTCTGAGAATCACTCACCCAAAAGCATAGAAGTTAGGCAAATATAATTAGCAAGTAATTAGCCAATTGTAGTCACAGAAATACTAGTACTAGTAATTATATATAATACTATATGCATACATTTTTCCTTGTCTCATCAAGGACGTCCATCTGTAACACACACACACAAAAAAGAAGGGAGCCACAATGAGATTGATGATCAGCTTTAACTTAAATATAGTTTGGAGATGTTTAAGGGGAAAATAGAGTGTTAATGTAAGTAATCAACACTGGCCTGTTTAGCACGGACACAGGCAAGGCCATTCTCAAGGGCATCCTCAATGGCCATCAGCTCTTTGTACTGCAAAGATGTGATATCCTCGCCTTTCAGATGCCTAGGGACATGCTTAAAACATAAGACCGAGAGAGGGAGAGAGAGAGAGAGAGAGGAAACCAAAGAAATTAACAAAGCTGGAAAAGTATATGTACCTGAGTTCAATGTGCATGCTATCATTCTCTTTCTTGATTCTATCTATTTCATTGCTAAGGTTCTGTGAGTTTTTATTGTAAGAGAAAACAGAAAGAGCAAAAAAAAAAAAAAACTGTTAGTTTATTGACAAGAAAATCCATAGCTATATATGACCTATATAAGAGCTTACATGTTGGTATGTTGGTTAAATTTGTGCTTTTGACCAAGAAACCCTAGAGTACCACCATGAACTAGGTAGATCTTACTGGAGATCTGTTCAGGGAAAATGCATTTATTGTTTTGTTATGCCTTTAAAACTGACTCCTATGTAGTTCTTCAATTTTTTGCAAGGAAAAGGAAGGTCGACAATAACATTTTATTTCCAGATCTGTTGATAGATGTTACATTTCAGATAGTTTTAGCTTTCTTTTTCTTAAAAAAAGGCATAAAATTTATGCATGAGAGAGGGACAGCTAAAGGACTACATCAATTCATCCCATTTGTAGATCTATTCAGAGAATTCATAGTTCATGTTTTTTGTTAACTTTTTAGCAAAAACAAAAACAAAAAAAAAAGTCATTTCCTGGTACATGCAAGAGAAAACCAGATGCCCTTTGCTAGGGTCACAACAGATAGAAAAAAGATGAAACATCATAGGAAAGAAAGGAAAATAGATTCAAACCTACCTCATGTTTAGCATCCCACAGCCTCTTTCCGGAAGTCTTGTGATATTGATCCAAGATATCGATCAAACTTCACCATAAGAGGAATTTTTTGTAACAAAAAAAGGGAACAAGCAAAACAAGTAACCCCATCAAGAAAAATTGCGAAGAAAAAAAGAAATCCCTTGTTGTTAGAAGCAAAACCAAGAAAGAAAAAAAGGGAAAAAAACTTCATACTTAGTAGAAGGACTGCAGTACTCATGCATCTTGCCAGAGCTAGCAAAGATAATAAGAGAAACACGAGCATCACACAGCACGGTAATCTCCTTAGCTTTCTTCATGATCCCATTCCTTCTCTTTGAATAAGTAACCTGCCTGTTGCTTGAGTTCTCGATCCTCTTGATCTCAATCTTGCCTCTCCCCATCTCTTCTCTTTGCTCTCTTCCTTTTTTTCTTCTCCCTTGTTTTGCTTGTGAAATGATGAATTGAATGGAGCAGAAAATGAGGTTTAAAGGCAGAGAAAGGGAGAGAGGAAAACAACAGGGAAGCATTCTATTTCAGGTTTGGAGGATAGAGAACTTTCTAAGTGTCACAGTACGGGCATGTTTGTTTCAGGGTTATTGACAAGGCCAAGCCAACTGCCTTTTTCTTTGTTTAATCTCATGTTTTTGAAAAGAAATGGCTTTGTTAGTTTTTGTTTCACCTTGTTAACCATTGGTCTCTAAGATCCTCTTGGTGAGAGTAGATACATAGCATTAGTAACCCAAGGAGAGCTCTTAGGGTTAGGGCTAGAGTTTTAATATGGAAATTCGGACAAGACTTTAAAGGCCGGCGTGAGGAGGGAACAACAAACATCTTTAGGAGGCTTTGATGTGTTTCATACGTAAAATTAATGTAGAAAAAGAAAATTCGGAGTGCATGCAGTAAGGTACACGTGTCACGATTAGAAGCCATTGAAATCTAGAATGGTCTTGTCTAGGGTTTGAGTGATGGAATTACTAAGTATGGTAGTCTATAATAAATCATATCTTAACCATCAAATCAAGATCAAAGGGAACAAAAGTATTAATTTTATTGAAGGTGGAGATGTATTGTTCTCCGAGAGCCAAAAACTGTCGAGGTCTTTCAAATAGGAGGTCTAGGAATTGGCTTGGGGTTGGGGCAGCGGCGGCCTCTGCTCTACATGCCAGGCCGCTGCATTACTTGACAAGGGAGGCAACGCCCATTTGGTTTTGTACATTATGCAATACTATGCATTTTGTTTTGTACATTATGCAATACTTGTTGATTTCCCACAAATTATATATTTGAACCATACATTACTTTGTTTATGTTTTACCATTTTCAAAAGATGTAATTTATAATAAATAGTAATTAATGAAGATTTACTGCAATGGTTAGTTTTACTTGAAATGATTTAATAATATTTTTTTAAAAAAAAATTAGCATTTATTACTCAATCTAAGTGGCAAAATGATGTACATGATGATGATCTCCATACCAGCCTACATTAGATTTATAAATATCTGTAATCATATCATAAACATAAGCATTACGTGATAATTAGTCAATAACCAAATCAGGATGAAGCTAGGCAACCAAAGGCAGAAGAATAAAGGTTAAAAATTTTAAAAATTAATATATTTTTTTAAAATTAAATAACATTAATATATTAAATTTAACTAACAATTAAAAGTTGGTAATAGAAAATAATTTTATATAACATTTAAATTAAAAAAAATTATAATAATTTTTTAAAAAATTGTACTCGATTATGCTTTTTGGATTCAAATTCATCAATTATTAATTATATACTGCAAAATATCAATTTCTTTAGAATTGAGATTTAGATGTTTTGAACCTTGTTCATGAGTTAAAACTTGAGGCTTGGTGACTTAAGTGTAGGAGAATAATTTAGACAATCTGTATATTTTATTTTAAAAATTTTGTTAATTAGTTTCAATTTACTTATACTTTAATCAAATTTAAAAAAAGTTAATACTATCAACATCTAGTATTCTTATTTTATTTCTATTTACACTTATAATACTAAATATAAATCTATAATACATAAAATATAAATAGTTAAATACGAAATATAAAATTAATAATTTTCTCTTATATAATTAGAATTATTTAAAAATTATATATTCAAGATAATTTATTTTCAACTAAATATGAACCTTAAAGCACAAACAAAAAATATACTCAAGATAATTTTCTCTTACATAATCACGATTAATAAAAAAATAATATATTAATAAAATTTTAAATAACGGTGCAACACTACAACTTATATTTAAGAACTATATAATAATTTATTAATTTTTTAAGATAAAATCATAAAAAATAAATTCACATAACAAAAAAATAGAAATGACAAGTAGAAGATAAAGCCCACATATGACATAACAAAAAAAAAGAATATACTTGATAATTAGTAGAAATTTAGAGAAATAAAATTAAATGAAAATTTAAAAGAACATATGAACAAATAGAACAAAAATGAAAAAATAAACAAATATAAATTAAAATTAAAATAAAAAAAACTTTAAAGTTGAATGAAGCATGTGAGATCATTTTGTTATTCTTTATTTATATTAATTATTAAATAAAAAATTATTTTAAAGGCACCATTAAAAGAGTATATATAAAATTTTAGAAATTTTATATAATATATATAGATATAATTTTAAAAATTTTGGGGACTATGCTAAAAGGGGAATCTGGCAGTGAACCAAATGCTGCTCATTTTAAAAAGGAAAATGCTGCCTTTTATAAAGCTAAAGCACTGGAGGGATTCAAGTGTAAATTTGTTCTCCACCAACATATATATATATATATATATATATAGAGAGATTTTAAATTATACATAATAAAAATAAGTTAATATTTTTTTCTATTGTATTTAATTAAGTATTGTTTGAAAAAATTTGAGTAAAATAATAAATTTTTGTAATTAACGGTTAATTCATTATTATTAATTAAAATATCACTTATCATTTTATATTCATATGACACTGATATAATGTTAACATGAAGAGTGAAAAATATCATATGACTATGTTATCATACCATATCAATATATTATGTCTTCATTATTATGACATGCCACATAGCATAAAACAATTTATAAGTGATATTTTGACAACAACAATTAATCAAGCATCAATTATAAGAGTTTATTTGATATAAAATAAAAATATAAAAATTTGATTAAATGCAATAAAAACATAAAGACTTATTTGAAGTTTTTTAAAAAGTTCAAAAGTTTTTAAAGATATTATATTTTTCATAATTGATTTTCATTAAAATTGAAGAAATAAAAGTTTGAAAAGCATGCTAATTTAATTTGAAAACATTAATTTGGATGAATAGCATTGTATTTCATTTTACATATCTTTATGGATAATACAAAAATATCTCACCGAATGCTTTTGTATTTCTGATTGATTTCAACATAAGGAAATAATAAAAAAAAAAAAGGAAAAAGTGAAAACAAGAGAAAAGAAAGAAAAAAGAAATTGAAACATTGCCGAACAACAGGCCAAAACTAGATATACATGTTCTTAATTTTGCAATCTTTTATCGTATTGACATTGCATTACATGTGTTCTAATTCATTCCTTAAGAGACTTTTCCTCATATATGTCAAACCAGAGGAACCTCTGCTAGAGACCATATAAAATTATCCTATCATATAATATTAGGGTAAATAAATCATCATTTTCATATAAATAAGTGAAGACAAACAAACAAAAAAACATCTATTTATTTCAACAACATATGATAAAAAATTGAGAAATTGACAATGGCTAATTACAATAGTGAAGAAATTAAAGATAAAGAAGTAGATTACCTCGATCATACAAAATCCAATTACCCACAATTTATCATCAGCTAAGCCTAGGCCGCAACTTATAAATGATCAAAAGATTAAGAGTTGCCAAATCCAAGGACTGCAGAGTTTACAGTAATCCTGCACCGCAATGGCTACTGGATAATTGCTTAAAAGAAATGGAGAAGTTTAGTCTTTGTAATCTAACAAAAGAGAATGAGGAATGAGGATTCACATACTTGACAACTTCAACTCAAACAATCGGTCCAAGTGATGAACCCCATTTTATACAAAGAGAAATAATTACATGTTCTTGTAGCTCCAACATACAACGAAATTGAACAGGCCCGATAACGCCAACAGCATCCACAGAGAACCATAGGTTGAGGAAGTGACATTTTGCTCTCCATTGTCAATTTTTGCTCTGCAGGTTCAAACTTATTTCCTATCAAGCTAACACATCCAGACAACCTGTCTACTTGTTGCATGATTGTCTTTACCTTCATCATGCAACCTTTTTATTTTGTCATTGGATTAGAACCAATTTGAAATGCTGAAGTCTCGTAGCTTTCTGAGATGTCTTTCCATGTCTTCTCTGGTCTTGATCCACTCTTCCCTTTCTATTACAGTTGTTGGATCATCTTTTTCACTCTGAAAGCATAGAAAAGGAGTAAATTAGGTAATGCCTAACATGCAACTACAAAAGGATTTGGAGAATGAATAGCCACCGTATGAATTATTTTGAAGGAGTTTCCATTATCACGTATAACAAGTAGGTCACTCTTCCTGTCCCGGTTTCTTCCTCCTGGAACTGTGACCTACAGACAGAATCAATAAGTTAGACCAGGGTAAATAACAAAATGAGCAGCAACCATCCAATAAGGATCACATAGCTAATTTTCATGTTTTATGAAAATGTAGGATGAGGAGGATTCCTTAGTGACTACCAGAACTTCAATATATGACCTGAAAGACTCCCAAAATGGAAAAAGATATCCAAGTGTAACGGTCCAGTTAAACATGTCCATACACAAGTACCTGCCATCTTTTTTGGCTCTTCTCACGTTAATTATTTACCAATTTATATATAACATTTGGCTTGAAGAACTGTAGAAACATTATGAAATTCAGTTGCTTCTACTTGCCTTTTTTTTTTTCCTTGATACATTCTAATATTCAAGTTGTCCTCGAAATAGGTTCTAGAGCAAGCTGAAGGATAAGAACAAGACTGTATATTCACCCTCACTAGCTAAAGCATCATCAAGAATGAGGAATACTTCTTATTTAAATCTGTAGAGCAAAAAAGTACTTCTCTAGGTAAGAAAGAAAGCATAAAGGGATGGAAGGCACAAGTCATGTTGTAGCCTCATGTGCAATATTAGAAGAGTATTCAAAGTAGATTTAACTATAAAATTTCTTACCAAAACTTTTGCTCTGGTAATTGACTTGGTCTTGGAATCAATCACATATATCTCCTCAAAGTCTAGCACAAATTCTGGGTCACCCAACCTTCGATTCCTGTAATGTTTTGTCAAAAATACCTGCAATTAAAAAACAGCCAGCTCATAATATTGCTGAAAGAAAATCAATGATCCTTACTCCTTCAAATTGAGATAACAACCAGAATTCCATGATGCAGCAAAATGGGAGGATGATTTTTAATTATTCTGAATTCCTAAA